CCTCAAACTACTGAAAATGTGCACCTATGAAACATGTACATGAAGGTTTACAGCAGTGTGTTGCTAATAGTAAAAAAGTTAAAACAACTCAAATAACTATCAAATACTGGAGAGAAATAAAATGTGGCTTATTCAAAAAAAAAAAAGAATCTTCTTCCTTTGTTTTTATTTTTGGTTTGGTTCTTTGTTTTTTTGTTGTTGTTTTTGGTTTTACTTTTAAATCTGGTTTTGTTTTGAGGGGAAGTTGCAAGGGCAGAGTTTGCATGGGAGGGGACAGGGACATCAGTAGGATCAGTAATAAAAGTACTGTAAATACTTTTATTCATTAAATACAAGTAAAAAAGGAAATAAGACAATTGAATCACATTGAATGCCCAGTTAAAAACATAAAAAGACAAAAAGGGAAAGTTGAGAATAAGAATAAAAAACAGTTAAAAACAGAAAGCAGCAGCAGTTGCATATAACTCAACACTGTAAATACTGATATAAGAATATAAGTTCATCATTCCATGATAACTGAATGCAGGTAACAGACATGGGTTTTGAAAGAGATTTTAAAGCTAATTTTTTTTGCTAGTTCCAAATTTTTCTTTTTTAAAAAATATTTTTATTTTATAATTAATTTAATTTTACATATTAGCCATGGATTCCCCTGTCCTCCATCCTCCCACCGCCAGGCTTCCCCACCTCCCAAGTCCACCCCTCATTCCCACCTCCTCCAAGGCAAGGTATCACCTGGGGAGTCAGCCCAGCCTGGTAGATTCAGTTGAGGCAGGTCCAGTCCCCTTCTCTCTACACCAAGGCTGAGCAAAGTGTCTCAGCATAGGCCCTAGGTTCCAAAAAGCCAGCTCATGCACCAAGGACAGGTCCCTGCTCCACTGCCTGGGGGCCTCCTAAACAGTTCAAGCTAATCAACTGTCTCACTTATCCAGAGGGTGGGATCCAGTTCCATGGGGGCTCCTCAGCTATTAGTTCATAGTTCATGTGTTTCCACTAGTTTGGCTATTTGTCCTTGTGCTTTCTCCAATCTTGGTCTCAACAATTCTCACTCATACAATCCCTCCTTTTTCTCACCAATTGGACTCCTGGAGCTCTACCTGGGGCCTGGTCGTGGATCTTTGCATCGGGTTCCCTCAGTCATTGGATGAGATTTCTAGCATGACAGTTAGGGTGTTTGGCCATCCTATCACCAGAGTAGGTCAGTTCGGGCTTTCTCTAGACCATTGCCAGTAGTCTATTGTGGAGGATTCTGTGGACCTCTCTAGCACTTTACTTCTTCCTATTCTCATGTGGTCTTCATTTATCATGGTCTCTTATTCCTTGTTCTCCCTCTCTGTTCTTGATCAAGCTGGGATCTCCTGCTATCCTAAGTTCTCTTTCCCTGGAAACTTGAGTGAGTAGAAAATTTCTTAATAAAGAAAAAAAAAAGATAAACTCTGTCAATGCAATACACCATATAAACAAACTGAAAGAAAAAAAAAACATGATCATCTCACTAGATGGATAGGCAGGATTAACATAGTAAAAACAGCAATCTTACCAAAAGCAAGCTACAGATTCAATGCAATCCTCATCAAAATACCAACACAATTTTTCACAGACCTGGAAAGAACAATACTCAACTTCATATGGAAAAACAAAAAAAAACAGGATAGCCAAAAGAATCCTGTACAATAAAACAACCTCTGGAGGCATCATTATCCCTGACTTCAAGCTCTACTATAGAGCTACAGTAATAATAAAAAGCTTGGTACTTGTATAAAAACCAACATGTGGACCAATGGAACTGGACTGAAGACCCTGACATTAATCCGCTCACCTATGAACATATGGCTTTCGACAAAGAAGCCAAAACTCTACAGTGGAAAAAAGAAAGCATGTTCCAAATTTTTCATGGATTACTTTTTTTAATTTTGATGGTGGATATGTGTATAAAAATATATTCCATAGTAAAAATGTAAAATCTAATAGGAAGCTACAAGCTGCCATTCCAAATAGTGATTCTAACTGTGTATATGTTCATTGAGATTTACAGATTTGAGTTGGTGTATTTCAGTACTCGATAATTTTTTGTATGGTTTTTATAATAAAGTTTATTTTTAAAAGTTTAAGATACATAAGAGAAATGAATTCAGTAGACAAAAAAACCTACTTTAGATATATAGCTCACTAGTAGAGCACTTTCCTACATGTACAAAGATTTATTCCC